GGTGGATTTTAGGCCAGGATGTGTCTTCCTAGGTAAGGTCATCTCTGTGTGTGACACCTAAGTTTTTATCTATTCTTGGTGCTACATCCATATGGTTATCTTCCTTATTGACCATATACCCCTTGGACCCCAGACTCCACATCCCACGTGGAGACAGACTCACTGCTCAGTGACCCACAACTTCACTGGTCAGTCCCTGCAGGAATCACTATCTCCTTCTTCGCCTGGGTTCCTTGTTCAACTTTCATGTACTTACCCACACTAGTCAGGGCATCAGGGGTAGAATTCAGACACCACTGCTCATTGCTCAGACTCCCTTTCAAAGGAGACATTCTCTAGGGCTGATCATAGAGGAGCTGTGGCGATGTTTCCCACGTGGGCTCTGAGTTCTTCAAATCTTTCAGTTCAGTAGGCACTGAGCTCTCTCTTAGTCCCAGGGACAGACAAGAACATCTGGTTAAGATTTTGCTTTCTAGGGAATGTCACAGGTGCCTCCTATGGAAGAGAACACTGAGAAAGTTACCATTTTTTTAGGACTATGGGTCAGTGCACTATTTATCAAGCATGTGTCACTTATGTGTGTCACCAAGTCATTTATGTCACTGCATATTTATCCTCTATGTCAAACTCAGTATGATAATATATAACTACATTGGAACCTGCATCAAGCAAGCATTCTTTCTAGGTAAATTTTCACAGTAATCTAAGGAATCAGATACATTTCTGTCATTTCAGTAAGTGTTCATCATGAGCTTTTCCACATGAAGGCAATTTGCAGTTGGTTATTGAGCAAGATCACGTTGGAAGAAAATTGCTTGCAAGATCAAACACTGAGCAACCTGGCTGAGGACCAGGGTTCCCAGGGAGGAAGAATACCTCTGTTCTAGTTCTAGAATCCAGCACACAGGTAGGGAAGAGTTAATTTACCCTCTTCAGTTTGTACCCTGGTGGAGTGAAGGGTGCCCATCTGCACTGGGGAAAACAGTCTGCTTTTATGAGCCACCATTTCAAAGGTAAGCTCACCTGTCATCACACTGGGACAAAACCATGATTAACCATTAGCTGAATGTTTAGGCACCTTGTGACCTACACAAAGAAACGCAAAACCAACAGCCACAACAGAGGTATTTAGGGGAAGAGTTCCAAGGCAGAGACAATATGCATCTACCCAATGCATATAGATGGTGTGAAGCAATGTATTTAAACTCATTGTGGTGAAAGCTTTCCTAGGTACCTACATGTTGCTTGTCAGGTAAAGGGGAAGCTCCCTGCCAGAGATGAAGCAAAACCTTAATGAACCTCCATGTGTCCCATGCTTGCAGAACCTATGGGCCCTAAGTGATCCCTCTTGTTTGTCATTTCATCTGTAAGGAGGCTTGTGTCCGGGCTCACACAGACTTCCCTGCTCTGTGTCTTCTGCACAGTAATAGAGGGCAGAGCCCTTAGCTCTCAGGCTGTTCCTTTGCAGATAGGCAGTGTTTTGGGAATCATCTCTTGAGATGGTGAGTCTGCCTTTCACAGATGCAGCATATTCTGTAGGGTGAAAGTTAGCTTTGTTTCCAGTTATCCCTATTCACTTTAGCCCATTTTCTGGAGCCTTGGGGATCCAGTTTATATACTAGTCACTGAATATAAATCCAGCACCTTTGCAGGAGAGTCTCAGAGGCTGTCCAGGCTGCATCATGTCTGCACCAGACTCCACCAACTGCCCCTCACATTGGACATCTGTGAACAAGAGACTTTCATTAGCAGCATACAGACAGAGATACACACACACACACACACACACACACACACACACACACACAATTCCTCAGTCTGTCTGTAATGTTACCATGTAAAAGCATCAGAGCAAGTTTCCAGCTCAGCTCAAAGTTCATGGTGCTTCCTCTGGTTTAACCGTCACAATGAGGATAAACTGCAGAGACTCAGGGATTTTAACTGATCTCCCTGAGGTGCAGGGACAGCTGCAAATCTAGGTTTATCTGCATGTGTTGATACCCATTTACATGTTATTCTCTCCTTAGTGATGGAGATGTCAAGTCTCTGAGTGACAGTAACCACTTGACTAGAGGGAAAAGCACATTCATTATGACATTGGAAAGTTTTACAAGAGGGTGGTAAGTGTGCATGCTGTAGAGTTATTATTGCCATTGCTAAATTATATCACCTGGTAGTTTAACACAATATAATTTACAGCAATAGCCCACATGCACTGTTTCATGCTACTCAGCCCAGCATAAATTCTCTGTATGACATTATCCATCTGTGGACAAACAGAGACATTCATTCCCATCATCATACTCCCTGGCTGAGGGCAGTGGGCACTGCAAGGTCTGCTCTCTTTTTCTTTCAAGACAGAATCCCTGCCCATTGTGCATCTGTGCATGGAGAGTCCATCATTGTGAAGAAAGAAAGTGGGAAGAAGTGACAGACACACAGAGAGCATTTTAACTGCCCTGAATACCCTTTCTGCTCAGCCTCTTCACCCTCCTCCCCCAATCTCTTGACAAGTGTCACATCAAGTGACTGAGGTGCACACAGCACATTAATTAATATTCAGTAAGGGTTACTATAATCAAGTATCACATTGTCATTATTATATGCAATCTCTGGGAAGTTTCAAAAATGGAATGCTTAGTTAAATTCATAAAACTGACATAAAACTGCAGCCTCACTTGGTCAATGATATCCCCGAGTGGCATTCATGTCCTCATCTTCAAGTACACATAAGACTTGTCCCTGGGACCTGGTGACTGGAAGAAACATGCATTTATGGATTTTACCTCCAGTGAAACACGGACCTTCCTTCATCTTGATGTTGTGAATATTGAAAGGGTTCGTGCATTACACCCACTTCTAATGCTGCCTTCTCACTACATCTGTTTAACAGCCCCCATGACTTTTGACCAGGGAATTTTGCCTATAAAAAACGCCAGGGAAAAACTGCCTTTGAACATCACTGGAAGGACACTGATGTTGTACTTTTAACAACACATATAGGGCAGCAAATCTCCAGGAAGGCAGCCCCTGTGGTCATGTCACTCTACAACCATACTATATTCTTGGTGCTGTAACAATCTACTGTGAACTGGGTCATTGGCCCATAACTGAAAGGTATTTATCAACAATCTGGAGGTGGGGAATGCAGTAACAGCTGCTGGCAGATTGATGTCAGTTACAGAACAGATTTCTATGTGACTGTTTGCTCATTGTAATCTCAAAGGGTGGATGGGGCAAGGGAGTTTCTTCTGTCTTTTGTTACAAAGGACGTCATCCCATTCATGACAGTTCCACCCCAGAACTATCACTTGTCCCAAGGCCCCATATCTTAACACCGTCAGATGAGCTTCAGGTTTTAATAACCTGGGAGTTTTGGAGTGACTCCAACACCAGCTCATAGCAATGACAAATTAATCAAATCCTGACTCCACCAAATTGGAAGGCTGTTTCAGTAGAGCTCCCCAAACTGAGGATACCCATTAATCTGTGGATGCTTCACATTTTTGTAAGCAGTAAGTGGACCAAAGTCCTTCAGAACAAGCTAATGACCTTGTAGAGTGCACAGGTTCCACCCTACACTTTGATCAAAGATGTCTGTGTAATTTCTTATTTCCCCACTTATTGCATACATATAACCATTATTCTTATTTTCTATGGACTGCACTTATTTTCTACCCATAATTATGCGTGGCTCTGCATTCTCATTCATATTTCCTAGGTGATCAGTGAAATAAGGAACCAGGCTCTAGCATTTGATATCTGATGATGACATGTTTAGGTTCACCTCTCTCTCCTCCTGTAAACATGGGAAAAGTCTGACGTGGAAGTGGAGATTCTCCCTAGTTTCATGCAGGTAAGAAATGGAAACCACACAAACCCCTTTCATGAGCAGGAACCTGCTCAGGGGTGAACAACAAAACCTGGACCAGACTCTTTATCTGACATGACACAGCCATTCCTGACCCACTGAAAAGTGTGCGCTGCTCTCAATAGACTTCTCAAAGAAGGGACAAACATTCCCACAGTCCCTCTGTGTGTGTGTGATGTCATAACTCTGAACATCCACAACATGGTATGGTGGGGGTTCCTCTATGACCACGTGATTTCAACTACTATTGATGTCCTGGATGTGAAATTAAGTAAATGACCAACCCCCCTGTGTTTTTCCCCCTCTAGGACTGGGTTCCAACAACTCTTTGCCAACTGCCCAGCATGCTTGTGCCTGCTACTGGTTGACTTGGACTCTGAGCTGTGTGGGTCTGGACTCCTTGCTGGGTCCAGCAGAGTGTCTGGTTGATTTCAGATGATTTTGGTCAAGGGGTTTGGTGATTCATTAGGATAGGGGTAAGCAAATACATGTGACACTCTGACTTTGGAGCATGTGAGAAGGTTTTCCTCTGATGACAACAAGCCTTTGTAACTCAGATACTGGAGAGGTCAGCACAGAAGCATGAAGGGAGGGAGGCTCCCAGAGGGAAACTGCTGTGTGGAGAGTCAACCCCACACCTGCCAGGAAACAAGCTCTTTTTTTTATTTTTTTTAATTGCTGTTCAAGTACAATTCTCTGCCTTTTACCCCCAAACCAGCACACCCCACAGCTCTCCCCAGCTCCCTACCATTTCCATCACCCACCTTTGTTTTGTCCATGTGTCGTTTATACTTGATCCTGCAAACCCTTCCCTTTTTCTCCTGAAACTCCCACCCCTCTCCCTTCTGGTCATTGTCAGCCTGTTCTCTATTTCAGTGTCTTTGGTTATATTTTGCTTGTTTGTCTTGGTGATTAGGTTCCTGTTAAAAGAAAGAAGCTCTTAATGTTCATCAGCAACCCCTCCCAAACTGATAACTGTACGCAGTGTGACCCGAGCGCCCCCTGCTGTCCTGAGTGTTCCCTACAGCCCAGCCCTCTTGTCTCCCGCAGGGAGGTTTATGTCTGGGCTCACACTGACTTCCACTCACTGTGTCTTTCGCACAGTAATACACAGCCGTGTCCTCAGATCTCAGGTTTTCATTTGCAGGGACAGTGTGTTCTTGCCATTGTCTCTGGAGATGGTGAATCGGCCTTTCACAGAGTTGGCGTAGTATGTGTTACCACCACTACCACCAATTGCTAAGACCCACTCCAGCCCCTTCCCTGGAGCCTGGTGGACCCAGTCCATTGTGTAGCTACTGAAGGTGAATCCAGAAGCCATGCAAGAGAGTCTCAGAGACCCTCCGGGCTTCACCAAGCTTCCGCCAGACTCCACGAGCTGCACCTCAGACTGGACACCTGCAAACACAAATTAATCCTTGTCAGGAAACAAACATTCCAAACCTTCATGTCTGTCATATGAACTCACGTACCCGGTGTCTCCTTCTCCATAAATTACCTCTTAAAATTGCGACAAGGAAAACCAAGATGAGCCCAAACTCCATGGTGAGAGTTCTGTGTTCTGCCCTGAGAAGGACTGGGAACACCTGGGAATCCTGGGCTAGGCTCCTGTCTCAGAGCTGCAGGGTCAGGGCTGTGCTGCTTTTCATGAACAGAGGGGCCCTATTTGCATGTCCTCTTCTTATATATTGAGGTCTGGGTTTGAACGGTGGCATAAAGGCCAATGTCCTAGTATGTGACATGTCTAAGGGTGCATGTCTGTTAAGAATTACTTTGCACACTTGAGCCTCTGTCATCCCCACTGACCCAGATTTTCCATGAGATAGGAACATGAACTTGGAGAGAACATGCTCATAAAAGATCGGTATTTAAAAAGAGAAATGCCTTTGAAATTCACCACTAATGAACACATCAAGAGGATTCAATAATCATGACCAGAGGGAGCATTAAAGCTGCAGGAAGTTCCTGTTCAGGTGACAGAAAGTTCCATTGGACCCTATTTCTTTTACAAAGCAATCAGAGTATGACTAAGTACAGAGTGAGACCCTAGAGCATGTGGACCAAGTGTTGGAGGAGGTCTGTGTGGAGCATGGGAGACAGAAGCGTGAAATCTACACAGAAGCACACAGTGCTCCTGGAACACATTTCTTTAGTGGAGTTTGGTGCTGAATGTTCATTTCATTGCTCATTTTTTTTTTATTTCCTAGACTTTGTGGTAAAGCCAGGAGCTAACATCAGGGACACAGAATCATCTCAGTCATGACTAGGTCTGCTTAGGTGTAGATGTAGGTGGAAATTGGAGACTGAGTAATTTTAAAGTATAACGATTTCATTATGATAAACTTTCATATGAATCACTAATACAAAATAACATAAAATAATGAAACGATCATTGATATGAAAGGCATCATTTTCTTTGTCCATTGATTGTGAAGTAAATAAATCATTAAAATTGCATCTCCATTCTGGATTCAGTGGATCTAATTTTATGTAAATCTGGTCAGGCATTATAGTTCTGTGTTATTTTCACCATCAACATTTGTGGTTCTGTGGATGTGTGATGTAGTTATCATCAATAATGTAAGAAACAGATCCATCCCTGGTTCATCAGAAGTCAATTTCAGAAGCTTGGTCTCCTCCACTTTCATTTCCCCTCATATCTGCACATGAGCCTCGAGAATGCTGTCACCTTTCCCATGTGAGACAGGTGTCATTTCTGTATGAAGTCACATGCTCTGTGGATCAGTGTGCAGAAGAGGAAAGTATCCCTCCCAGGTACATGGATGGTGGGATTAAGCAAGTCTGGAGCCAGTACTTCCAGGGTTCTTGTTCCTTATGATTTGTCCTCCTCATGTAGCAAGTTAAATTTGCCTTGTCACTTTTCTCAGAAATAGCCTCACATAGTAATCCTGTTAGTAATATTAAAAATAACTGATTTGAAAATCAACCCATCATTTTTTCCTCAGCCATAAAAACTTGATATCCTCAGCCATGAGAGAATTAAATCTTACTATTTGGGACTGGGACAGATATAGAGAGTATCATGTTCAATAAAAAAAAGTCCAGATGGAATAACAACAATGCCACATGATTTCACTTATATGTGGAATCTAATGAAGAAAAGAAAAAAAAAACAGAATAGAAACAGACTCATTAGCGCTGACTGGTGTAGCTCAGTGGATTGAGTGTGGGCTGCAAACCAGTGTCGCAGGTTCAATTCCCATTCAGGGCACATGCCTGGGTTGCAGGCCACGGCCCCGAGCAACAGCACATTGATGTTTCTCTCTCTCTCTCTTTCTCCCTCCCTTCCCTCTCTAAAAATAAATAAATCTTTTTAAAAAAGAAACAGACTCATAGATCAGGACTTGGGAGCCTGGATGAAAAGGGAAAAGTGATAAAGTATGCCTTGGCAGTTACAGGTTAAATACAGGGAGGTAAATTACAGCACTTGTAATAAAGTCAATAATATTTTGATAACTGTGCGTGGTGCAAAGTGGGTGGGTACTGGAAATACTGGCCCATCAGACCACAAGTTGTGTCTGACCACTCTGCTGTAGGCTAGAAGCTCATATAATATAATGTGGAATGCTAATTGGAATTGAAAGAAGAAAAAAGAGATTTAACCTAAATTCCAGGGTACAACAGGCAAGAGACATGACAGAATTCCAGAGCTATACTCACAGGTTTCACCTTTACTGTGAAAATTCTGAACATCTTTAGGTTTATTAAAGACTCCCACTGAGAACCTTGGCCTAGCATTATTTGCTACCTCAGTAACACCCTGGAGGATGCTAACCAGGGTGCAGTATTTTAATCTGACTTTTGCAAGGGCCTTTCTTGATCTTCCCAGAGATTTCAACTCTGTGGGTGATTAACAGTACATTCCCCCTTGCAGTTTGTGTTTCTCATCAGCCTGGACATCCACACAAAGCTGTTGTGTGTCCCTCTGCCTATGTGTGGTGTCACCTACTCTTGGGGCTGTGAGCATTATGCCAAGCACTAGGTGATGCTCTTAGGGAACAGACAGAACCACATTAAATCTAGACCACCTCTTCTAATTTGCATATTCACGAGGAAGAGTGTTTCATAGTGGAAGCCTTTATCTACGTGAGGAAAGACAGGACATAGGGGTCATGCTCAGTGGGGGACTAAGGATGACACTTGTAATCTATGTTGTAAGACAAGTGTCACATACCATGTCTCTGAGATCTGTGCAGACATAGCTCCTCCCACTGAGGATCAAACCCCCACAGGACATGCTCCTTATTGTGAAACCACCTTTGAGTGACACGCAGACCATTTTTGGGCTTTAATGACTGAAAGTCTCAATCTTGGATCAGAGTGGCTGGAAAATGTTGCATCTAGTGAGTTAACAAAACCATCCTTGCATCTGGTTCCTCAGAATTCAGATCTAAAGAAGCCACAGAAATATGCTCACTGACTGTGGTTCTCATGCATTGTTGAGTTTGGTAAATGTTCTGATAGAATAGGATGTTTACAGTCACCTCATGTCCAATCTTATTTCAGATGTTTTCATGAAAAGAGGAAGACACAGGCCATCAGAGGAAATTCCTCCCTGCTCCCTCTGCACCAACCTCTGGGAAGCATCCTTGAGTTTGTATATGCCATGCACCCCCTGATGCTTAGCATGTGCCCTACAGGGGAGGGTCCTCTCTGAACTTACAGGATGTGGACTACCCAACATCTCTAACCCAAAATTATAGGCTTTGCCCTGACTTCAGTGTTCTCCCTAAGGGATATTTTGTTCTTAGAGACCTCAAGATACACAGAATTGGCTTACTAATCTCCAGTTACTATTCAGGGAGCCCCCAGTCCAGACTCTGTTAAGCAACCAAGGAGTCCCATCCCTGGAGCTGCCAGATGCACTGACTCATCCAGCACCCATGAACCCTGAAGACCTCAGGATCTTTGAGGCCTCTGATACCTTCAGTTTTATCTGCCTGCAGGTTCCATTTGAGTAGCCCTGCATGTGGCCCTAATACCATTGCACTTCTAGTACTCAGTAAATCACACATAGGCAGTGATGATTTTCATGGTAATGATCTACAGGTCTCCATTGTCCCCTGTTCTTAGCACATGGGCCCAGCTCCCATACTAACCCTAAACCAGCATGTTCTCTGACTTGACAATAGAAAAAAAAAGCCAACATAATTGACATAGAGAATGTAATGTTTTCGCTGTTCTTTGTTTTCGCTGTTCTCCAAGAGCCTGGAACCTGAAGACTCTGTGGTGAGAAGGGTCCTGGCTTGTCTTCAGGAGGATCAGAACCAGAAGACAGTTTTCTAGTCAGTGTAGTCAACACTGACCTGATATGTGGGGAGATCACACTGTCTAGAGCCCAAAGGTCCCCAATCTCAGATCCCACAGACAGGAATTCTAAGAACAGAACCAGGAGGGGTAGGTGTCACCACAGGAGGAGAATCAGGTGTTAAGGCAGGAAGAAAGAACTGAGAAAATTGGCTCTGGATACTTGGAGTCCCTTTTGTACAGTGATAGGATTTTTGACACTATGTACCCTCATGTCTTGAGTGCCCCCTGATACCCTGAGCACACCCTGCACTTCAACTTTTTTGTCTTTCCACAGAACGATTTGTGTCTGGAATCACACTGATATTATTTCTCTGAGTCTCTCACACAGTAATACCAGGAGGTGTCTGTCTACAGACTGACATTCACATCCATCCAGACTGAAAAAAAGGAGTGAAGGCATGAGATAGACCACTCCCATATTCACTTTGGTGGGATAATTTGGCAAGGGATATTTTGGGACAAGGATTCACACCTCAACACTGGGTCCTGCAGCCCAGGGTCCCAGTGCAGGGAAGATAAATCCCCACAACTTCTGGCTGCAAAGTTGAGTGGGGATGTCTTCAGTGGAAGAAACTCCTAGAATCCCAGACAGTTTTCCTTAAAGAAACCGCACACATAATTATTCCTACTTAATTCCTCTGAATGACAGCGTCAGGGTAGCAACTTGAAAGGCAGCAGTGGCATACAGGGAAAACATGAAGTATCTGGCATCAAGGCAAGTACTGGGCGACAGCTTTCTCCCAGACAGAAAATCGAACAGAGTGCATTGTCCCTCTTCTCATCCCACCCCCCTACACAGACCCATTGAGCCAGCATGCGAGTGCCGTATCAGAGACTTATCAACCATGATAACACTGTTTCCCCTGCCCTGGCGTTCCCCTAAGGCAACATGCCATCCGCTGTATAGGTTCACCCAAGGAGTTAACAGTGTTTTGTTTTGTTTTGTTTTGTTTTTTTCTTTTCTGGATAAGGGCTGGTATTGGCTCATGTTTCACAACTTCCTATAACAATATCACTTTCTAAGTGCCTAGAGGTCTGGAACTAGCAGTTCTTCTCTTTCCTCCCTACACAGACCCACTACTGCCAGTATAGGTTCACAGTTTGGCTTTTCATGGGACAATTCAAGCCCAGCATAATAGCAGCCATCTTCATATTGTGTTATAACTAATTGAGAGTGTCCCCAGGCAGAACACGGGTGGGGACTGATCTTGGC